TGAAGCTCCCAACCGCTCCTTTTTTTTCTCTTTTTTTATTTTATTCTGGGCCAGCTTTAACTCTGGCTCTAGCTCTGAGGCTTCCGCTGGTTTGTTTGCGTTCTATAATCGAAACAATGTATAACTCCAGCTCTGAGATCCCGGGGTTTTGTTTAGCTTCTATATTTGTTACAAAGTTTCAAACTGCCAGCTCAGAGGCCGGCAGCGCAGGCGGGGAACGTTGGAGTCCTCCTTCACTGCAGCAAGCAAGCCTCATGTTCGCTTCCAGCTGCCTGGCTGCCGGCTGCCATCTTGGCTGACAGTTAATTTGCATATACTCACTGATTAGCCAATGAAAAGGGTAGCGGTCGTACGCTAATTACCATGTTTCTCTTTTATTAGTGTAGATTGATTTCAGAGAAGAATGGAGGGGGAGAGAGAGAGATAGAAATATCAATGATGAGAGAGAATCATTGATCGGCTGCCTCCTGCACGCCCCACACTGGGGATTGAGCCCGCAACCTGGGCATGTGCCCCTACTGGGAATTGAACCCTGACCTTCTGGTTCACAGGTTGATGCTCAACCACCAATCCATGCCGGCCAGGTCCTAACCTTAACAAATTACCACACACTGGGTGCTCTTAGCAGCAGAAAGCTATCCTCTCACAGCTCTGGAGGACAGAGGTCTGAGATCAAGGTGTCCCCAGGCTGTGCTTTCTCTGAAGGCTGCTGTGTCTGCTACAGCTGGGCCTGTCCCCCCTGGTGTTGCCCTAAGTCCTGGACTTGTAGAACCTCCCTCCAACCTGTCCTCACATGGCCTTCCCCCTGAGAGTCTGTGTCGCCTCTTCTTACAAGGACACCAGTCAGATTAGAATAGCCCCCCCCCACACACACACACTTCATATGGCCTCACCTTAAATAACTCCATCTGCGAGGACCCTATGGCCAAATAAGGGCACATTCTGAGGCTCCGAGCAGGACGTGATGTGGAGGGGATACTCTCCAATCCAGCACATGCATGCTTCCCATTTACTGCTGAAAATCTCACATGTGTGGTAGAGACTACTCATGTCCCACTGTTAATGCTCCTATTTCAGCATGTACAGCCCCTGATGCTTACCCAGTTACCCAACATGAAGGCTCCGTTTCCTGAACTCCTTTGCTGCCAGGTGTGGCTGGGTGACAGTCCTGGCCAGGGAGATGTGGAAATAAACTCCATATGGCAGCTTGTGGGACCTTCCTCAGCAGCAGCTAGCTTGGTCACCTGCCCCTTTCTCCCCCTCTTCCCCCAGCTCGCTGACAGGACACAGGTGTTCCAGGTGGCTGTACACTGGGCCCCGAGGACCCAGACCCAGGGTATCCTGAGGCTGGCATAGCAGTGAGCTGGGAGCCTCGCGGCTTCCACGTGACTGTGGAGTTGTTAGGGGCAGACATCGAGTAGTGGGGACTAGCTATAGCTGTAAGAAGTATGAATCATGCTCTGTTAGTGGTGATTGTTCTGTTCTGATTAGAAGAAGCACATGCTGACCTGGCTGAGAGTTGTACGCCCGGGACATGGGAGTTAACCTGGGAATGCAGCCCATTCTCCTTTTTCGAGAACTGCCGATCGTCATGGAAAGATTCACCACCTTGTTGCTGAAACAATCCAGTCCCGAGACGCCCGTCCTTACCAATTCCCAGCCTGCACTGCCTGTAGCCTGCACCATTCCCGTGGCCTGCTCCCCATGCCCGTCACTCCTACTTCCCATGTAATCTCTGTCCTTCTACCCAGTATCAGCAGCTGGTTTATGGGGAAGAGCGGATTTTCATGGATGACCCGCTGCTCTCCCACACTGCCGGCCTTATTGGAATAAACTCGCGTATATGACTCAACCCTGACTCTGCCGATCTGGCTCAAGTAGTGACAGGCAGCCCGGACCCATTGGTTATCTGGCTTCAGAGTCATCGCCCAGCTCTGCAGCTAACACCTGGACGTTCCTGTTGGAGGTAAGCGACCACCCAGGGCGGCTGGGCTGCATGGAGACAGCGCTCCCGCTGGCCTGGAGGGTTCCTGCACCACCTGAGCTGGGCAGAGTGCAGGTGTGCCAGGAGCAGGAGGGGCTGTTGGGAGAAGATGCCCTTGAGGTCCCCATGGATCTCCAAGACTGACCTTCTGCTTTGGTCTTCATCTCCAGGCGGAGGAGAGATTCTGAGCCGACCACTTTGCCTGGTTAGATGACCCAGTCAGTCAAGAGTGTGGTCCACACCTGTGCCTCCCTCCTTGTGAGGAGACGGAAGGAAGCCAGGTAGGTAGGGGTGGGACCACGGGAAAGGAAGTAGAACCTGGAACCCAACGAGGCAGAGTTACTAAGGCACCCAACTGGGTGGGGAAGGAAGGGCACTCGGGAGAGAGGCATGAACTTTAAAATGTATGGATACTGCTGAGATCTCATGCAGATAACCAATCACAAGGCAGTAAGGCATATAAACCAATCCCAAGGATGTTGCCTTGGCAGAATTCTTTGAAAAGACCAATTAGGAGCTAGCAAGACTGCCCACCCCCTAAAGTAAAAGGCCCGCAGTTCCTCTCAGCCTCTCTCTTCTCCCAGGCAGCAATGGCTTCCTGACGTTCCTTCCTGTGTTGGGGGAGCCCACCCCTGCGTCCATGTGGCCTCCACACATGGACTATTAGACTTTCATTAGCTTGGATACTGAACTACTCCCCCCTGTCACATGGAAAGGAGGCTCCAGACACCGGCCTGCACTTGGAACCCCAGCTACACCTTCTCCAGGACTGGCTTCTCCCAGTAAACTTTGGTTTCCTTAATTGGGGGGTGGGTGGTGGTAGTGGAAGGCCCTGGGTGGTTGGTGGATGGGCCTCGCCCCCTGGTTGAACTTCCGGTCAAGGGGACAATTTGCATATTAGCCTTTTATTGCATAGGGACTTGGGGACGGGAGCTTCAGGGAGCTGGAGAGAAAGCTGTGCTGCTTCAGTTTTAGCGAGGGCTCTTCCATTCAGCCCCGGGAGCCAGCCGCTTGGAGACATCATTCCGTCCCAAAAATAAAGTCATGAATCCTCCTCAAGTCCCTGAGGAGACAAAAAGACACACACATTAGCAACTAATGAGGACCTTCTGAGAACAAAGGGAGTTGAGCAGGAAGAGCTTTTACCACATGAACAAAGGCCTAATTAAGCATAGCTGCTCAGCCCGACCAGTGTGGCTCAGTGGTTGAGCAGCGGGCTCTGAACCAGGAGGTCAAGGTTCGATTCCCCGTCAAGGCACATGCCTGGTTTTCAAGCCCAATCCCTAGTGTGGGGCCTGCGGGAGGCAGCAGATCAATGATTCTCTCTCATCGTTGATGTTTCCATCACTCCCTCTCCTTTCCTCTCTAAAATCAATAAAGATATATATTGTTAAAAACAGGTGCTCTTAATACTAGGGGCATTCACATCACAGGGGCTGGGCTATAGTTTGTTACTAAGGAAGCCCTAGCAACCGAATGCAGTCATTCTCTGTCTCCTCAGTCTTCTGATGGCCACACTCATACACATTCATGACCACTTGTGTTCGGTTTAATAACATTTGGTTAATGTGGTGAGATGGGAGGACCAAGGAGGGGGGAGCACCTTTGCTGGGGGAGAGCGAGGCACTGAGGGGTGGAGGGAGGGAGGGTCGGGGTGGGGAGGCACCTGAAGGAGCAGAGAGGCCCAGACTCAGGTGAAGGTTGTGGGAGGTAAGGGGGGGAGGGGGGAGGAAACCCATACCCGAGGATTTCATCAAGCTTCTCCTGCAGACGACCATAATTTCGACGCACATTCTTCCAATACGTGAACTGCCATCCCCCGTTGTACACAAAGTTATCCCAACAGTATTTAAAATCTGCAGCAAAGAGGGGAGAGAGCAGGCAGGTCTGGCCTAGGAGCCTTTCTCTCCTGAGCCTCCCCTGGGCAACCCACTCAGGGCCCAGTTTCCTCCTTGCCAGTGTCTTCACTCCTGCCTCAGTTTCCCAAGTCCCCCTGCCACTCACTCTCCCCGGGTGCCTCTACCTGCCCCCGCTCCCCCATTCCTGCCCAGCTCCCTTTGCTCTCACCCTCTGGAGCCATCATGGCCACCTTGGCCCCTGTAGCAACCAGATCTTGAAGCCCCTGCTCATCTTCGTCCTCACACAAGTAGAGGCGGGCGGCGGAGATGCTCAGGTCCACGTTCTCGTTCTCATTCAGGAAGTCAGCCACCTGCTCTGCACACTCGAAGCAGGGGCTCCAGGATATGTACCAGGTGACATGGTATTGCGCATCAGGACACCGAATCTCATCAGGAAACAGAACCTTCTCATGGAACCATTCTATGAAGCAGAGTTCTGCGTGGCCAGGATACAACTGGGAGAAACGGAGAGAGGGTGGGGGGACCCTCGTAACAAAGCAGGCATGTGACAGAGCAGGCATGTGACAGGACTGGGGGTGGGCACCAGGGGACAGGGAGCAATCGTCTCAGGGTCATGTTGTTGATTGATTTATCCCCTTTTTATTTTTTAAAAAATATGTTTTTATTGATTTTTATTTCTTAAAATATATTTTTATTGATTTCAGAACGGAAGGGTGAGAGGGATAAAATGTCAATGGTGAGAGAGAATCATTGATCGGCTGTCTCCTGCACGACCCCCACTGGGGATTGAGCCCACAACCTGGGCATGTACCCTTGACCTGAATCAAACTCAGGACCCTTCCGTCCGCAGGCTGATGCTCTATCCACTGAGCCAAACAAGTGAGGGCTATTTTTATTGATTTTTAGAGAGAGGAAGGGAAAAGGAGAGATAGAAACACTGATGAGAGAGAAGCATGGAACAGCTGCCTCCTGCACACCCCCCTCTGGAGATCAAACCTGCAACCAGGGCATGTGCCCTGAATGGAATCTAACCAGTGACCTCTTGGTCCAGGGGTCGATGCTCAACCACTGAGCGTCACCAGTGGAGCGATTCATCCCTTTGTAAACTCCTCCCCTCCCTATCTCATGGAGAACTTTTATATTAACTACTAGAGGACAGATGCATGAAAATTCGTGCAAGAGTAGGCCTTACTTCCCCTGGCTGCCGGCACCGGCTTCCCTCCTCCGGCCCCTGGCAGGCACCGGGACCGGGTGGCTTTGCCCAGCCCCGGCTTCGTCCGGAAGGACATCAGGAATGGTGTCCAGAAGGACGTCTGGTCTAATTAACATATTACCCTTTTATTATTACAGATATGTTGAAACAATATCTTAGATATATTTCAAAGTACGTTATCAACATTAAATTGAGCGATTTCTCTGAAAATTTGACCCCTGGGTACTAGAAAAGGTTAAATGACCTGAGTGACCCTGATTACACTCCCATGGGAAAGTCCTGCCCAGTGACACCTCGTCCACCCCCTAAGGGCTCCGAGTAGTCTGCACTTTGGGTGGAGAAGGGAGGGCTGGCGTGTGCTGGACACTGCAGAGGAGACCTTAGTGCTTGGCCCAGAGCGGGCAGGAAGCAGGCAGGAAGTGGGTGTGGGTTCTCCTCTGGGGGATCCCACATCCTGGGCCTGGAAGAGGGAGTGGGTAGCTGGGGGAGGACCTAGCCAGCAGAGCACTTCCTAGGGCCCCATAAGGCACTGGTGCACAGCAGCCCCAACTGTCCTAGACCCTCTTTCTTTTTTTTTCTTTTTTGCAATCAGCATTTTAATAACAAAGATACTATTTTTAACATGGTCACGTATACTTGGCTAAGTCCAGATTTTAAAAACCATAAGTATCTAGCCCAACAGTTGGACCATACAGTTTTGTACAGAACATTCCATAGGTCAACAGAAAATGCATTTCAGCACAAAAAATATTTAAAGAGAATCTCTAAGCACCATTTTATTTCTGCAAAACAGATATATATCTTGTACTGATTAAATATCTACAAGTGCTGCCCTAGCTGGTTTGGCTCAGTGGATAGAGCATCAGCCTGTGGACTGAAGGACCCCAGGTTAGATTCTGGTCAAGGGCATATGCCCGGGTTGCGGGCTCGATCCCCGGTAGGGGGTGGGCAGGAGGCAGCCTATCAATGATACTCTCTCATCATTGATGTTTCTATCTCTCTCTCCCTTCCTCTCTGAAATCAATAAAAATATATTCAATATCTACAAGTCCTTTTCCTTTACAAAAATACGTATATTCTTGATAGACTGAGTCATTAACAATGACCTGGTCATCTTTCATTTCGATTTGAATGATTCATAAGCTAAATCTTACAACCACAAAAAGGTTTTTTATTTGCATTAAAATGTTACCACTTTTGACAAAAAAAAGCTTAAAATATTTTATCTTTCACAGGAAAATCAGCAATACAACTGTACACTGTACTCTACGGTGGCTTTTTTTTTAACGTGAGGGCTCCTCTACCAAACTCTGATGCTCGCCGGGGCTGCCCCCCTCGAGGACGCAGCAGGGCCCGGGCTCCCTCACGGGCACGTGTCGTGGACCACAGCTTGATAAGGACACCTAGGCCCCACTCTCGTTCTAAAGAACACAGCAAAAGAAAACTGACCCCAAACACAGGAGGCTGGTCCCTTTACATTCCACTGTGCCGAACCCCTGCTCCCGTGGACCGAGGTGCGTCTGTGGATAAATAATGTTTGCTAACTCTACTGTTGCCCAGAAACATTGACTCTTCATTTGTACTAGATTCGTTTCTTATTCCAGGAAGCCCTGGAAGATGGAAGAAAACTAGACCCAGCGTGTAACAGACGTCAGTTGCACTTGGTTCTAGTTTTAAAGGTAATGAACCTTGAAAAGCTGCTGAACAATGTCTCAGAGCTGGCTCCTAGGGAAAGGGGCGTAACAGATACACAGACACCTTTAAATGAGCATTTAAAATTAAATTATTTTTAAGTGTAATGTCGTAACTTTCTGAAAAGGAAGTGCTCAAGCATTTTAAGTGTTTGAAAGCACAGAAAAAGACGAAGAAGAAAACACACGATAAGTGACAACTACATTACTGGGAAGAGAATCACTTTTCAATTATTGGGAAAATGCCATTGCTGTACGGAAAAAATGGTGAAAACCTTGTAATGTGTATTTAAGTACATTTTAATGAGATTTCATTCTCATGTTTTCCCATCAAAACTCAGCTGAACTAGGTCTGTCAAGTCAATCCAGCGTTAGTTGGTTATTTTGTGCTTTCAAAGGTTTCAGAGTCTCCAGTATATTTAATATTTTCCAACCCTTCATATGCCAGATCTGGCAGACATGCTATGTCCCTTACTGTGTATGTGTGTGTGTGCGCGCGCATCTCATTTATAACTAGAGGCCTGGTGCACAAATTCATGCACAGGTGGGGTCCGGCCAGTCCACCACCAATCGTAGTGAGGGGTGCTGATCAGAGCAGGGCTTGCCAAAGGGAGGGGCTGTGGGTGGTTGGCCGGCCCACCCCCAATTAGGGTGTGGGGGAGCTGATCAGAGCCATAGTGTGCATCAAAGCAACTGGTCGTTCCGGCGTTCAGGTCGCTTGGCTTTTATATATATAGACTAGAGGTCTGGTGCACTTATTCGTGCACTGGTGCTGGGGTGAGTCCTGGGAGGATCGGCCTACTGAGGGGGAGCTGCTCATCCCAGTCAGCCAAGCTCCGCTCCCACTGTTGAAGTGCACTGACCACCAGGGGGCAGTTCATGTATTAAGTGTTTGCCCCCTGGTAGTCATTGCACATCATAGTGACTGGTTGACTGGTCATTCTAGTCATTCTGCCATTTAGTCAGTGAGCTTTTATATATATAGACTAGAGGCCCGGTGCACAAAAATTTGTGCACTCGGGGGGGGGGGCCCCCAGCCCGGCCTGTGCCCTCTCGCAGTCTGGGACCCCTCAGGAGATAACGACCTGCTGGCTTAGGCCTGCTCCTGGGTGGCAGAGGGCACGCCCAATCCCTAGGTGCAGCCCCTGGTCAGGCTCAGAGCAGAGCCAATTGGGGAGTTGGTACGCTGCCCCGTCATGCACAGAGCAGGGCGGATCGGGAGGTTGCGATGCCACCCTCAGTCACGCTCAGGGTAGGGCCGATTGGGGGGTTGGGTTAATGATGTTTACTTTGAATTTATATTAGTTCACACAAACACTCCATCCATGCTTTTGTTCCGGCCCTCCGGTCCAGTTTAAGAACCCATTGTGGCCCTCGAGTCAAAAAGTTTGCCCACCCCTGATCTAGCCCAACAGTTCGACCATACAGTTTTGTAAACAACATTCCGTAGGTCAACAGAAAATGCATTTCAGCAAAAAAATATTTAAAGAGAATCTCTAAGCAGCATTTTATTTCTGCAAAACAGACATATATCTTGTACTGATTAAATATCTACAAGTGCGTTTCCTTTACAAAAATACATATATTCTTAATAGACTAAGTCATTAACAATGACCTGGTAATCTTTCACTTCAATTTGAATGATTCATAAGCTAAATCTTACAACCACAAAAAGGTTTTTTATTCGTATTAAGATGTTACCACTTTCGACAAAAAAAAGCTTAAAATATTTTATATTTCAAAGGAAAATCAGCAACACAACTGTACACTGTACTCTACAATGGTTTTGTTTAACGTGAGGGCTACTCTACAACACTGGTGCTCGCTGGTGCTGCCCGACGCGAGGGCGCAGCAGGACCCGGCTCCCTCACGGGCGCGTGTCGTGGACCACAGCTTCATAAGGACACTTAGGCCCCCACCCCATCCTAAGGAACACAGCAAAAGAAAACTGACCCCAGACAATAGAGGCTGATCGCATTACATTTTCAATGTGCCGAACCCCCTGCTCCAGTGGACTGACATGCGTCTGTGGATAAATAATCTGTTTACTAACTCTACTGTTGCCCAGAAACATATAATCTTCATTTGTACTACATTAGTTTCTTATTCCATGAAGCTCTGGAAGATGGAATAAAACTAGACCCAGCATTTAACAGACATCAGTTGCACTTGATTCTAGGTTTAAAGGTAAAGAACATTAAAAAGCATTGCTGAACAATGTCTCAGTGCTGGCTCCCAGGAAAGGGGCATAAGAGGTACACAGACACATTTTAATGAGCATTTAAAATTATTTTTAAGTTTAATTTCATAACTTTCTGAAAAGGAAGTGCTCAAGCATTTTAAGTGTTTGAAAGCAAAGTAAAAGACTAAGAAGTAAACACACTATATGTGACTACATTACACTGGGAAGAGAATCACTTTTAAATTATTGGGAAAATGCCATTGTTGTAGGGAAAAAAAGGTGAAAACCTTGTAATGCATATTTAAGTACATTTTAACGAACTTTCAATCTCATGTTTTTCCATCAAAACACAGCTGAACTAGGTCCATCAAGTCAGTCCAGCATTGGTTGGTTATTTTGTGCTTTCCAAGGGTTTCAGAGTCTCTAGTATATTTAATATTTTTCAACCTGTCATATGTCAGATCTGGCAGACATGCTATGTTCCTTACTGTGTGTGTGTCATTTATAATACCGTTTCACGTTTTTTGTGGTTCTAATCCAGGTATTTAAAGTTATGGCAAACACATTCATTTTTGCAATTCTCCTACAACCAACATCTTGAGTATCAAGCTTAGCCTGTGGGAAATTCCTTATGATAAACCACAGTACATAATAGAGGCTTACGTACAGCCTATCAGAGAGACTTCAGGATGCGAGCATTAACTCTGAGGTGGCCCACAGCCTGAGCTCCCAAGGAGAATGGTGTAAGAAGAGTGCTTACTTTGATGTATGTATGATCTAGATCTGAGACCCATTTTGCTAATTTGGCTGAGTGGCTGAATTCTACTAACAGTAGAGCAATCACTGAGAAACAGGACAGGGAGGTGAAACAGGCCTTTATGAAAATTTTGCTTTTGAATATGGAAAAAGCATTTATGTATGTGAGTCCAATCAAATGTCCTCTTTTCTATACACATAAGCCTATCAGCACTTTTACCCAAGCCTAGATGCTCTTTCCTCCAAGATGGTTTGCAGTCCCTGGAAGAGGTGGCGACTGAGGGCCAGCAGGTTCAATAGACTCTAGTGACTAGAGGAGGCCTCGTGGATAAGTTCAAATGCCATGTCTATGGCAGCGGTCACCAACCTTTCAGACCTCACGGGCCATCAGTGGTCCACAGACCACCCGTTGGTGACTGCTGGTCTATGGCGATTTGGGAGGGTCAGGCAGGGGCATCCAGGGCTAAAACACAGGACAGTGTTGTGGGAAGAAGCCTCTGGCATTTTCCATATTATCATCTCCCCACATCCTTCCCTGGCTTAGCTCCTGCCTCTGATGACAGCATCGTGGGGCACATACCTGGTTTCGAAAGACACCATTTTGATAGTCAAGAACTGAGCCATCCTCCCATCTTTCCACTTCAAAGCAGAGGAAGGTAGACTTACACCCATGGCCATCTAGGTTTTTGAAGTTGGAGTTGAAGGTCTTGGGATACATTCTTCTCATTGGGTTGCAGTGGGCAAGAGAGAAAACAGACAATTCAGTGTTCCTAGGAGTTTCACCCATCCGGTGACTCCTGAACACACCCCATGGACACCCTGGGCACCCTGCCTCCCAGTAACCCCTGCCTTCAGCTGGGGGAGAGCAGGAGAGCAGGGGCTGCAGAGACAGTGGGGCGAGTGGGGGGGCTCCTGTCCTCTTCCTTAGGGCCCGGCTCTGCAGCTTCGAACAATACACGCCAAACTCCCTACCCCCAGTCATTTGAATACAAAAATGAGTAATAAAACTGTCTCCACCCCCAAACATTAGATTTTCATATTAAGGTGCAATTCATGATTGACCTTTCACCTATGCATGTTTATTATTATCATTTAATGTCAGGCTAACACCTAAATTCACAGGCTCTGGCTACTGTTCTAAGAGCTCCTTGTATCTGAACTCCTCTATTCCTCCCCAAATCCAGCCTCACCCCATTTTACAGAGGAGGGAACGGGACACAGAGAGGGGAGTAGCCTGCCCAAGTCACAGGGCTGCTGAGTGACAGAGCCGGTCCCTTGCCCAGGCAAAGCCATGTCCAGCCCTTGCATGAGGTCAGCTGGCTGCGGGGCCCTATTGGCTGAGAGGCTTTTCTCGCTCATTGTAAACAGCGATTCCCCCACCGGTGGGCGCACTATAAACGCGAGGGCGGGGATGCCTCTGGGCACAGCCTGACTTTGCTCTTCTGCTCACAGTGCCGGCACCTTGGGAGAGAGGATTCCCCTTCCTGCTCAGCGAGCTCCTCTCAGTCTGTGTGGATAACGGGGTCAGTAGCACAGAAAGTGGATCCAAGTGCTTCAAGCCAAATGCCCCCAGTGCTCCACTCATCCTTAAGTGCAAGTCTCATGGCCAAGAGGGCACAGGAAAGGCCACAGAGCAGCAGCCCCACGGGCAGGGAGGGGACAGCCAGCCCACAACTGGCAGACTGAGAGGAGGACCAGGTGGACAACAGGCCTGGGCGAGGGGCAGGAGGGGCCATTCAGAAGCAACTGTGGGGGCTTCCCCAGGAGACGGCAAAGCCCCCAGGGAGTGGGACCTGCAGAGAAGGTCCCAGAGCGGGAGAGAAGCCAGGCTAGACCAGGGGGAGGACAAGGCTGAGGACAGAGACACCTCAGGCCCCCAAGTAGAAAGGGCTGCAGAGAAGGACAGAGTGGGGGCAGTACCTGGGCCAGGGCACCGCAGTGAAGTCTTGGTTCCCTTGCTGCTGCATTGCCCTTGGTCCCGGAGCTGGCGCTGCTGCACGTCTGCTCACAGGCCCAGGTTTTCGGAAAGTTCCTGGATGGAGAACCTTCCTGCCTTCTCAGCTGAGGCCCCACTTCCTTCCTGTTTTGGCTGCAGGGGTGGGCGGGGCCTGGGGTGTGATCTTCCTCAGCCTCAGACCCACCTTCCCTCCTCCTCTGGAGCCCTCCCTGTGACAGAGCTGACCTCTGCTGGAGACAGGCTCCTCCGTGCAGCAGGACCCAGGCTTCTGGCAAAAGGAAAGGGAAAGTGATGATGGCAGGGAGAGGGGATGGGACAGGCCCTGCTCCCCTGGGAGGGCCAGGCTGGAGCCCTTCCCACACCACCCTGCACCCAGCCCAAGCCTGAGCCCAGTGCATGCTCTCCACCTGCCTCCTGTTGAATGATGGGAAAGTGTGGACCTTGGATCAGGGACAGATGTGCATTGAGTTCCTCGTTCTGGGCTTGGTCCTCTGCTTGGGTCCCTCTGCCTTCACAGGGTGGGGAGGACACCGCTGGCAGGCTCCTGTCCCTCTTGCTCTAGGAGAGCTTTCAGACAAGCTGGATAGTGACCCTTGTCAGTTCCATTGCAAATGCTTTCTTTCAATGTGTGGCTAGGCTCTCGCTTCATGAAGTCTTTCCAGGTATAGATGTCTTAATTTTTAAGGTTTTCAAATGTATTAGTTTTGTCATATATGTATATGACATGACATAGGCATGTCATTTTTTATTTTGTATTGGATAGCCAATGCAAGGACATTTAATGACTTTCCTTCAATGTCATTTTGTCCTACTGATGTGCAATGCCACAACCTTTAGTGTGTGTGTGCGTGTGTGTGTGTGTGTGTGTGTGTGTGTGTATAGGTTGTCTCTGACTCTCTCATATGCTCCATTGCCTCACCTGTCCATGCCTGAGCGACTACCACACTGATCTTCCAGGGCTTCAGCGTAGATCCAATATCTGGTATGCCCATCCACCTTAGCTTCACCTTTGAAGTTGTATTGGCTTTGTACAGATCTACATGAATTTATGCGCAAAAGTTCCTTAAAATATGTTTTATAAATTGATTTCAAAAATAGGAAGGAAGGGGGAGAGAGAGAAAAAAAACATCAATGATGAGAGAATCATTCATTGGCTGCTTCCTGCATACCATCTACTGGGAAAAGATCCCAGAACCTGGGCAAGTGCCCATGCATGAACCTCCTGGTTCACGGGTCCATGCTCAATCAATGAGCCAAACCAAGCTGAGTGATGGACAAACTTTTCGTGTTTCATGTGATACCCTATCATCAATGTGTAGAGCAACCTTGGCAGGCATAGATGTCTCTGAGGCCCTGAGACTTTCCATCCATGAACATGGGATATATCTCCATTTCTATGGGCCTTCTTTTATGTTCTCAGTGAGTCTGAAATGAAGTTAAAGGGGAAGCTGGGAGGGAAGGAAAGAGGCAGCCATGAGGGCAAAGAAGAGTAAAGGGAGCACAGAGAGGAAGAAACAGGATCAAAAAGAAGATATACCACTCTGGGCAGATGGAGGGAAGCAAAGCAGGGAGGAGAGAGGACAGAATGGAGGGAGGGAAGGGGCAGAAAGTGAGGGTGTGAATCCGGGCTCAACCTTGTCTCCCTGCAACCTTGGGAAAAGGGAAAAAGAACTTGGCCTCAGCAATATAGTGCTCAGTAGTCATTCCCTGCTGTGAGAATTGGTGCAGTCTGGACAAGCTTGGGGATGAAAGGGGCTTTGCTCAGGTCCTGAGACACGGTGAGTCTGCACCAAAAGGTAGAGGTTAATTTAAAGCAAAGGGAATGGAGGCCCCTCTCAATACGTCCTGCTCACTAGGGCATGGTGGCGTCACTTCTGGGACTGGCATTCTCCCTGGGACACCTGCAGCAGGGGCGGGAGGAGACACAGAAATGAGGGCAGCAGCCCACAGGACATGTGGGAGTCCTGGGGAGAGGCCAGGCGAGGCACAGGGTCAGGAGACAGGAGGAACACCCAGGGGGCAGAGGAGGAGCTGGTAGAGGATAGGGAAGGAGTCCCCATCAGGGGAGGCAGGAGGAGGAGACAGGAGCAGGGGCCAGCCCTGTCCTGGGTCTCAGCCTCGACCACCTTTGAGACCTCTAAGTCCTCTTGTCACCACTTCTTCGCAACACCAGGCTGCACATGGTGTGAGCAGAAACTGCTGGAGGACGGGAGGATTATTTGAAAATTGATTGATTTATTGAACCAGAGACTCCCCTTCTTCTTTATAATCACCTCATCCTTTGTTGGAGACTAACTATCTTCTTTGTTAGACGTTGTCCCAAATGCCCAACATTTAACTGTCACCACAGCCCCGAGGTCAGTCACTGTTACTCTCCATGTGTTACAGTGAGGAATCCAAGAGGCAGCCTGTTCCCTCTGCCACACCACAGGGTCTCCACAGGAGTGAAACACCACTGGAACCTGACTTCTGGGCTGCCCATCAGCTGCCCTTCCTGGTCGGTCCCTGCTATTGTCCACGGAAAGGATGTACAGGCTTGAAAGTTCTGTGGTTGGACCAGTCCACTCTCTGCCCCCTGGGACTGAGGCATGATGAGGGGAGGTGGGCCACCATCTGACGCTTGGAGGGGACCAGCTGAGAAGACAACCCCCCAGAGCTGAGTTGGGGGTGGGTGTGGGGGTTGGGGCCCTATTCCAATAGCGTCACTGAGCAGCTGAGCCAGGCCCACACTGTCCTCCTCCTCCCACAGGTCTTGTCCTGGGAAACAAGCTGACTTTCAGCCCCTCCATGGCGGCCACAGTCCCCTGACAACCCAGCCTTCTGTCCTGGATCTCATTCCTGCCCCTTGTCTCCCACCATTGGCCCCCAGCCCTGCTTTGCCCCACCCCACCCCACCCCATCCCACCCCACCACCCCACCCAA